ATAAAATAAAAGTTCAAACTTGAAACCTAGCAATATGTACACCTACAACTACACTGTTAGTTCTCCAGCAATGACGCCAAAATTTTATCACGCCCAACTATGCCTTATAAAAAGGACTAAGCGGTCGTTGCAAATATAATCCGGTTTACAAGTCCGGAGTCGAATCTCACAGAGAACTAAGGCTTAGCTACAGTTGTTCACTATCACCAAGAATACAAGCTTGAACAATTCCTAACTTATAGATATTAAGATTCCTGTGTTTAACTAACTAAATAACAAATTAAAATAATAAATTAACACTAAAGATACTACATGTTAGAGACAAGATTAAGGAGGTCTAGAGTTATGGTTTTTCCAATTGTCAGAATCCTTCCGCTATGTCTTCTATAATTTCTCCTAAGTATTCTCTACCGATCATGAGCGCTCTGCATGTTGTAATTCTCTCCTGAGTAATTACGACAATTTACTAGACATACTCTCCCGAGTTACGCTAGTTGGCTTTAATTACAACTCACTTAGATCGCACCCAAGGTTTCGTTATCCCTAATTCCACCTTTAAGCCCTTGGTTATTGATTCCTCACATACGTCAGGAGTGGTGTTATTCAACAACTACCTAAATATGCACTCTCTCCCGAGTAATACATACTAAATAGGCACAACTAATTGAGGATCATATCAATTAACTACAACAGTTGAACAAATAGAGATTGTACTACAGCTCAATTATATAAAAACATAACAAGAATTTATCCTACAAAAGATTCCATCAAAACCCTAGATAACAAATTAGCTATTCATAATAGTATGTAAAACTACACTACTAAAAGTCATAACCAACAATGAAAAACAGGAAGAGAAAGGAAAAACTCGTAGAAGAATTCCCCGCCTCGCTCCTATTGTGTCTCTACCTCCTTAGGCTGAATCTGTATCTCAAATCTGTCCAACCTCCTCAAAATAGCATTTTTACATGTATTTATACCAAGTAGGGTCGGGCCCAGACGGAAATACCTTTTCCCGCGCGAAGTTGGACAACCACTCTGTAAAATTTGCACTACCGCGCCGCATGGGGCGGCAGTGGGAAAGTTCAGATTGCTGATTCTGACAGGCTGCAGGAAATTTCCACAGGCGTAGCGCACTGCGTGCCGCGCCATGCGCGACAGTATTGGGAATTTGCGAAAACTCAAAACATGAAAGCCGTAGACCTTTCAAATAAATTTCCAAAGATATATTGTGGAGCCCAAATGGAGTTCTGAGTGAAAAGTTATGTGCATTTTACTAGACAATGCACCATATGCCCGCTCGATTCTTCGCTTCGTTCTTAACTATCATCTATTGATCCCCCAACACGATCACAGCTTAATTCCTTGGGCTTTTACTCAGATTTCAAAGCTCCAAATCACTTGAATTCATTCCATAATATCTACATAGCTCGGAATCACTCCTACAAGGCATAAAACACATAATTAGTGCAAAACACTAGCAATTAAAACTCAAACTCAATTAAAGTGCAGTAAATTAGAGTGTAATAAGCAACTAAAATACGTAATTATAGCCTATCATCACCAAAGTTGGGCTGAAATCTGAAGAGATGCAACTCTTCAGAATGGTTGTATATGCAAAACGGCCACATCATAAATGACTATTTACTCAACAATAAAGAGAAAAAATTGAAGAGGGTAGTTTAATTTTCAGTTACACAACTGAAAAACGGATTGGATTTAATATTAATATTTATTTTAATATTAATATTTTGTTATTAAAACGAATATTTAATGATATTTCTGTTAATATCTTACTATTAACAAATAAATTTTGTCCAAAAAATTAATCAATCAATCATTTGACCAAATCCGAAGCCGAAGCCGAGGAGCGACGACGATGACGGCGCGAGCTTACCTTCTTCTCAACTCTTTAAGAGCTAGAAGAAGAACAATTGCTTATATATACCCATAAAAAATCTCTTCTCTTCCAATATGGGATAATGTTCATTTGCCAAGGGGGAAAACTTAAAATTTCACCTAAAAATTTCATTTCCCTCCATTTTCCATTCACCCTATTTTAAGCCTCATTATTCTTAAAATCCCCAACAGGGAAGTGGTAAGTTTTTCGGCGGCTAGCATGATTAGCAGCTGCTAATTTAATTTGTGCTTTCTAATTCATGAAACGCTGAAATTAGGAAGCACACATTAGGGTTTCAATTTGAGCATGCATGTGTCATTCAATGAACATTTTGCTGTATGCTGGCTCGCCTACTGTAGTGATGTAAGTCAATTCTCTGCCGTTTAGTTTATCTTATTTCTGTCGACTAGTAGTGAAACAAATAAATAAGTCTTCCAATATTTGCATGAATGATTAGTATCCATGTATTGTGTCTTGGATTATATGTAACCACATTATAACATTCTATTTGTCCATCATTCAACATGACAAACCACTAACTCTAAATTTCTACTACATCTATTAGCTTAAGTAAAATAGCATGAGCGGGGTGGCACGATTCTGCAGTTTAGACTGATTATAACATGATACAGGACCTAGATGGTCTGGTTAATTAGAAACAAAAAGCTGATATAATAAAAGGGTCAATTGCACAGGAATATAATGTGGATACGTAGGCGAGGCTTGTACTTCTGTTACAACTAAACTATTTAGGGTCCGCATTTTATTTGTCGATTAATTCAAATTCGTACTAAATACTGAATAGGTTCATCAACAAGATAAAAATATCTATCATAGGTTCTTTAGTTTAAATTCGAATTCGAATCCTATAGTTAAAATTAATAAAAAAATCTCAACCATATCAGCACTTATTAATTTAATAGTGACGAACCATATTACTTGACAATAGTAATAAAGGGTCAATTCGTTGTTGATGGATTCTAAATTCTACTGCCAATCATATCATGAAAGAATAGTACATGTTCTTTATGTACTTTAAAGAACAACATTGTTGATAAGAGTATCGAAAATTTTCTTTAATTATTTCCGTCCTCTGATGGTGCCCCTGGGTATCCGCGTACCAAAAGTGAAGGTCTATAATCTCTAATTCAAAACATATGGTACTGATTATTTGACAGAATAATACCTCCGCATCATTCTATCCATGCATGTACGGAAAAAAAGGTTGTCATATCAATATCTTTTTAAATACAAAGACTTAAAAGTCCACGAAAATAACACTCCAAAGCGTTTGTACGAAAAATATTTGAAGTTGAAATTAAAATAGGTATTTATTAGAAAGTTGAAAAATAGGTTCTTTAAACTTAAAGTTTTGTGAGTGAAAATTATTATTTTACTTTGAAATACTTCTCAAATCAGTTTTTCATACGTCATTGATCAATTAATAAGTTGTAATTAAAATAATTATTTAAATTGTAAAGCAAATATTGATGTGCAGCTAATACCTAAAATTGAAATCATGGATGTCCAAACGGTTAAAGAAAGTAAAAGAAGTAAAGAATTAAACTTGTACTTTATAGAAGTTTTATTTTGTGTCTCATACAATTTGTACTTTATACAACTTGTACATTAGTTGTATGAGGCTTCTTTTTGTTTCACAAATTTGTGGACCTCAATCTTATACTTCTGGGTCCACAGAAATCTGAGTCCACAAAACTGTAAGACAAAATTTGTTTCATACAACTAGTATCAATTAAATGACACAAAATAAAATTTTCCTATCGTAACAAACAAAAATGACGAGATAACAAATAAGCACATAGAAAAGTACCTTTGCTTTATTACTTTTTTTGCGGCTTTCAAGAGTTGCAAACTTCATTAGGAACCTTCACCCTAGAGTAGCACAGAATCATATTCTTTTCCTTTGACATAACACTTGAGATATAGCTTGTCAATTTCTGCTGTATATATAAGCCTTAATACCCTACAAACATTACATTGCTACACCTTTCTAGTTCGGTTTATCAACTGCAACAGATGCCTATAACTGCAGCTGGAATCACTACGTTTCCACAGAGATTACGACTAATTAGGTTAGAGTGTTATTTCTTGTTCTCTCAATTGGCTTGCTTAGTTTTTTTTTCCCTTGTGCATCTTATAACTATCTTAGTTATTGGTACTATTAGCTCTTTAATCTTAAATCATTCACATGCTAGCAGGATAATAATTTTCCTTCACTACACAATAATAGATACACAAGTACCTCAATTCTTGCAATTAATTAGCATGACATTCTGTGCTACACGCCATCCTTAACCTAGATATACAAAGACGTATATATAGATTGTATGTTGATTAACTTAAGTGTGACAAATTGAAAAGGAAAAAGAAAACAAGAAATTGAAGGACAAGAAAACAATTGGATTTCTCACGTTGTTTCCAACTTACGATTCTTTTTAAACAAATTAAAAGTCACTACACTAATTTTGTCACTTTATTCGGAATATAAATCTGTGTGGTATATACACACGACCCTCCCCAGATTTCATGAGATTTCACTGGGTATGTTGTTGTTGTTATTCGGAACATATATTTGGTGGAAAAAACTCATTAAATTTGACCAGAAAGCCAAGTAGGCATGCCAAATAAGTTAGAACGTCAACATGGCTTTTTTCGTCAACAAGCATAGCTAAATATTTACCCACTTAACCATCCCTAAAATCTACCCGAGCAAATTTGAAGCGTTTTTTACCTGTTAAGTATAAGAGATAAAAACTTAGAAGATATATATGTTTAACCAAAAAATGAGGATTTTGGTCAAAGGTTTTTTTTAGAAGAACTCGGGTTATTGATAATTAAATAGAAATAGGAATAAATGGTGCAAATAATAGCAGAATAGAAAGCAAAGTAAATCAGTATATTCCAATAGTATTTCTTGTCCTTACAAATGTTCATTCCTCACTTTTTATAGTTGTTTCTAAGTAATACGCTTCTCTCCTTCCATAATGGAGTCATTATGAATAATTAATGACATTTAATGTAATGTCATAATTGGCAATCGTAACTGTTTCAATACAGATTCTATAACGTTTTCCGTAATTAATACTCATTAACTACCAATAATACGTATCTATACTCTTTTGCTATTTAGATTCATTCTTCTGATGCCTCTTCAAATTACTAAGAGGTTCGAGCACCTATTCCTTTTTGGTTTTCTTGGATCTTTGCCCGTGCATGTTAAAGTTCGTGTTTCTTCAACCATTCTTTGCCAACTGTCATTCCTCTACTGACCCACGTGTCATGACATGTTAGCACATAATTAATTCGATATATTTACTTGATTTTTCCCAATACAATATATATATATATATATATATATATACATATATGGTTGAAATCATGTCTTGCATAAATATATACTTGTGACTAAAAAAGTTAGAATGGTTGATGCAGGACAAAGCAAATGCACCAAATTAAACGTAGGATGAGCAGTACGTTTTCAGGGAGGGAGGAAATATGGAGGAACGAGGAGGAAGACGAAGATGAGGAGATAAAGAAAGGGTCGACGTGGTGGATGCCACATCCTCGAACAGGAATATATTTTCCAGTAGGCCAAGAACGAGTAATGGATGACATACCAAATGGTGCAGCCTCTCTTCCTCAGACTTATTGGCTTAGGAGTGAAGATGGTGTTGACAAACCTGACCCTGATTTTCCCATTGCCCATCATTTTACTAATTATACGTATCGCTATTGATTTAAGGCCAAATAATACTAGCTAGCTAGTTACATAGAGAGGAAATCTCTTTAGATTTCGTATCATCCAAAATTAATCAGTGCTCTTACTACTAAATACTACGTGACAAAATAATGTATTATTACATGGTTTGATAAGTAATCCACTATATGTATGTTTGGAAAGAGTAAATTTCAGATGCATATGGTAATATATAGATATACTTGTTTACCCCTAAAATCGGGTAATAATTAAATTTATACGTGGTTTTAAGGATACATGATATAACTTGGTACAAATTAAGCGAATAGATTAATATTAAAATTGACGATAAAAGAATAAATGCAAACCACACGAATCGAATAGTCTTGGCCCTCGAGTTCAATCACCCTTGAACCAAAGATGTCTCAATTGACGTATGAACAGAGTAGCAATATAATAAAAGCTAGAAAATGACAGTATATTGCTTTATATTATGTAAATATGATGATTTTACAAATGATCAGACCCTTTTAATATAGTGAGGGAATCCTGCTCTTTATACAGTTCTATATGAAGTAAAAAATTTCATGATTAGCTAATTAACGGACCATCATTGATACGTGCCGAGATTTTTGCCGTGATCTACAACTGATCGCGAATATCTCGTCCTTCTGTTATTTGGCTTGGCAAATTTCCCTCGATATCGCCTGATCTCGATTTAGTTCAGTCCTGGGGTCGATATAACCTCGCACCTTGGTTCAGTATAATTTGAGGTCGATCCTTAACCTATCATATTTCGGTCTCGATTAATCACATAAGGGGCGAGCCCGGTTTTGACCGTATACAGATAGTCTCCTTGTTTCTTGGAGAGAGGATGACGAGAAACGATATGAACTTCCAAATCCGGTCTCGATGGGCCATGACGTAAGCAATGAACCTGACTATGACGTAAGCGACAAATGGATATCGAAACGTCTTGTCGATCCAGTTACCAAGGCATTAAATGTCTGTCAGTTGCTGGTCGGCCACTACGGATCCTGAACCGTCACCAACAAGATATAAGTACCATAACTTTCCTTTATTCAAACTTTACGCTCAAAGCTCCTCCTATTCTTGTTTCTTCAAAAATCCTTTTGCTTTGCGACTCTTGCACCCAAATTTCTTGAACTTTTAGCAAACCACATACCATCTTAATTCCCTTTTTTTTGTTCTACAATGGCGAAAACTTCTAAGACTGTACAGCAGAATGAGGCCGCCTCTTCATCACGACCCACCGACGACGGGACTGCGACGGAACCTCACCCTAAGGGCTTCATTCCGGTAGGTGCCCTACCATTGTCGATTTTAACGTTAAAAAGACCTCCTTGGTACCGGGTCGATGTGAGCCGGTCTCGAGGTACATATGCACAACTACTGATGATCTCCTCACCAAGGTTAAAGAGGATTGCAACTGGGTCAACAAGCATATGGTGGTACCTTCGCCCTAGGAATCGATCATTATACACGTGGAGGGTTTTCTAAGTGTTTACACTTACCCCTTCACGGTGGGTCCCTTAGACCCCATCATCATTGCCTTCTATAAGAGGTACGACATGACTCTTGGCCAGATCTACCCTTCCTTTTGAGAATAGTGATTCTCCTCCAATTCTTCGTAAGCAAAATCGAGGGATGTCCCTTTACCCTCGATCACCTTATGTACCTCTACAATTCCCATTTCTATCGAGGGGGCTGATCAAGCTTGTTTGTCGGGCCAGTAGGGCCCCGTTCTCGAGTGTAGACGAGTCTCGGGAAATGGAACATGAAACATAAGTAGTAGTTTGCCTTGTAGATTCAATTTTGTTATTTTTTCTCTTATCTCCTTCCTTATCGATGTTTTTGGTGTTGCAGCTATGGCCCAGATACCGGACGTAGTTCCTGAACTCAAGGAATGGGTCAAGGGCCTTGTGTCATAGAGGCCATATTCCGAGCGTGCTTGGACGGAATTATCGAAGGGTGGATGGGCAGCCCGTAGTCATGGTAAGTTTCCTTTCCTGAGGTAATAATGTTCGATATCCTCCTTTCGCTATCGAATTCTTATCTATCTTCTCTTGTAGGTCTCCCCAAGGACGTTTCTATGAGGCCTCCATCCGGTGATGAGTATGTGCCTCTCGAGTCCCCTGCTTCAAATCAGGGTGATGACAAGAAGATAAGAAGGGCTCTGAGCTCCCCGAACTCGAAAAAAAAAGACCGAAGAAGAGGTCGTGCAAGCCCAGGGGAAGCACCTGTGCTCTATCCTCGGACCCAATCCACTGGCTAAGGGACAAGTCTGAAGAAGAAGAAGAAGAAGAAGAAGAAGAAGAAGAAGAAGAAGAAGAAGAAGAAGAAGAAGAAGAAGAAGAAGAAGAAGAAGAAGAGAAATCCAAGCTAGTGGTATGCGTGCGGTCAGGTGTCGTGATACAAGGGCCCTCCGAATCGGAAGAGGCCGATGAGGGAGTTTTGGCCGAAGCTCCCGAACCAGAAGGGGTTGAGGCCACTCCACCCCAATCTAGGGGGTCGAGATAGAGACCGGGGTGACGCTTCTCGAGTAGTAGAATATTCTCCAAGAGATGAGCTTGGAACAACCGACGTTACGGGTCCTCTCAGATTTCAGATGCCATGATTTGCGAGGCCGGTATGTTAGAAAATCGCTCTTACGAAGGGCCTCAGAGGGTGACTGTTATCCACCACTTCTTGGATGGATTTGAGTCCACTGCTTCAGAATATGTCACCGGGATAGGTGACTTGCCGATGCCAAGGAAGGTACTGTCACTAGGTGCTACTAGGCCTTCATCGAGCCCAAAACTGGTGGACTCATTCTCGGCCCCAAGTGATAGCCCTGACCGCAGGCGATCGATAATTTTTTCTGTCCTGGAGGAGTCCCAGGTTTTCTCTGCTCTTGTGGGGGTTTCTAGCTACCTTAGATGCTTGGTGATCGAGGAGGACCAAGCCGTGATAGATGCGGTGGAAGCGCCTTGCCTATTTAATGAGGTCCATCATGCTTTGAATCGGGTAACTTCGAGCATTACTTATTTTTAATTTTGAAGTTGCAAATAATCCTAACACTTTTCTTTGTGCTTGCAGACCTCAGTATTGCATCCTGAGGTTTTCCTCTGAATCCGGTAGGAGTTATCCTAGCACGAGGTTGAGGTTCGGGAGTTCGCCGAGAAGCGGGATACTTACAAGCTTCAAAGTGAGAAGTTTCAGGCTGAGTTAGAAGTGGCTCGGAGTGAACATGCTTATATAGCCGAGTAGGTATTTCAAGTGCTTCACGATAGTGAAAACGAATTAGAGATAGTGGCTAACGATCCGATCCTGCAGGTCTGACAGAGGCTTGAACATATTGGGCATCTTCAAGCACAGGTAGATACAACTCAAACTGAGGCTGAGGAGTTCAAGAAAAATATAGACATTTTAGCCTCGAAAAAGGAATCTGTCCAAGCACAACTAGAGTCGCCGAGACCCAGCTCCGAGCTGCAAAAGAGAAGGCCTCGGTGCAGGTCAAAAAAATCGAGGAGCTTCAGTCCCAATTGGACTCGGCTATTTCTAATAAGGCAAACTTGGCCAAAGAACTCGAGACAGCCAAATCTGATGTGGTCGTGGACAATACCAAAGCTGATGCTAAAGTGGCCCTATTTAAGGTCGACGTCGAGGCCATCCAGGCGCAAGCCAAGAGCATGGTGGATCACGCAAGGTGGCAAGCTCGAAGGGAAGCCCTTGAGGAAGTCCATGCTAAGGACTTCGATATATTGGCTGAAATCGAGAATGCCAAAGCAAAAGAAGCCAGGTCTCGAAAGTTGGACTTTCCCGAGGAAGATTCTGAGAGTTTAAGCGAGTCTGAAGGCTGTCGCGCCCCCTTTTTCCTCTTCGCATCGAAAAATTGGGTTTATGACATTTTTTAGGTATGGAACAACTCATTCCTTTTGGGAACTGGGTTTGCATTTGGAGAGTTGCCACCTAATGATTTAAGGTGCATTAGGACACCTATAGGGGTTCATTTCTAAGTTTGTTTGATAACCGGAGACAGGGTAAGGGCTTGAAATTATCCTAAGGGGAAGGTGTTAGGCAACCCTCAGGATCCACTAGTGTGGTTCCCGACCAAACAGTTTTTGTGAATTTTGTAAAATTAGCAGATAGACAAATATAGGCTCAAATAGTAGGGGATTTAAGTTCGAACACAAAAGAGTTTGAAAACAATTGTTAAAAGGCAAATTTTGAAAAGGAATTACAGCTCTACAAACACTTGAGAATATAAAAGGGAGGAGGGGGTTCCTAGGTTTATTTACAATATGGATCACATCAATGCGATACCCGGTATGACACTCCTCAGAAGAGGGGATACACGTGGTATTAGCGCACCGGTCATCATATCCATATCTACCCTTCCCACCCCGTTAAGGTATTAAAGCGCGGATCGGTCTCGACCTCTATTGCATGCTATTACCCGTCCTATTACTATCAGTCCCGGAGGAATTTAAGACTACTATTCCTACAATAGGGAGGATTTTAGGCTGACTCTTGGGTTTTAAAGGTAAAAAGGCTAAGGCGACATACAAAACACGTAGGACTGCATACTAGGGGAAACATATAAACAAGTAAGAGGCTCATATATACCTCCGCAGACAATGCACATAAATAACACGACTTAAACATAGTTAGGGTCAGAATTTAAAGTACTAAGGTAGGGCGTTTTAATTGTTGAAGCAGACCATATTTATTACATAACTCAGATAAGAAGTCCGAATCAGTATTGCCTGCTGGTTGTAGCAGTTACTAATTAAACAAAGGCGGATTCATTTCTATCATTATTACTAAGGCTTGCCTAAGTGTGTATTGGTGATGTCCTATAAGCATGATATCTATTTCTAATTAAGAAGGCAATAGAGCAGTGGTTAAGTTTTTATACGGGCAATTTGGATCCTATAGGCATGCTTTCTAAACCGTATTAATAAAAGGAGTAGGTTGTTTAAACTGATTCAGAATAGTACGATTCAAACTGATTCTTTTTAACTAAACTGGTTTTAGATCCTATAGGCATGATCTCTATTATAGCTGATTTCAATTCCTATAGGCATGGTATCTAAGTGTTAACGACTGATTTTGATCCTATAAGCATGACATCTAATTGAACATGAATTGAAGCAGGCAGGATTTATTTGATCACAGCGACATTCCTATAGGCATGATTTCTATTAAAATTGATTTTTTTTCCTATA